AAAAAAAAAAAAAAAAAAGAGAAGAAGAGCACTGATAGTCCATTATGTAGCTTTGTGCTTAACTTCAAACAAACAAACCTAAGTAGCGTTAATGTAACATTTGTATATTCTGAAAATGCCTGTTCATGAAAAATTTTCGTTTGTCCATTAATCTAATATCTCTTTTTGTTTTCATTCTTTGTGCATTGTGAATTTTACAATCTTGCTTGATTTTTTATTTGTATTTAGGTCTATTCTTGCATGAACCGAGGGCAGTCAGGTGCTTTTACGACTTCTCTGTCTATTACTACACGAGGGTCGTGGCTTGTACCCCGAGCAAGAGTACAACATCTGATCCTTTCCTAGACCATATCCATGTATGTAATACATTAGTATACTAAATTTCACAGTTTCGCTGTGCAAAGTGATAGGTTTACCTGCTAGCAGAAAGTGACTTGTTTTTGTATTTATGCCCCCCCCCCCCCAGTGGCACAGTGGTATGTCTGGAGGACTTATACTGCAAGAAACCAAGTTTCAATACCCGTGTGGGCTGAGCAAAGATAGCCCTTTGTGTAGCTTTATGCTTAATAACAAACAACAGTAATAGTGCATGATATAGACCTTGCATGCATAATACGCAAAATTATTGTAGTTATTACTGCGAGTAATATTGATGCAATAGAGCAAAATTCATATTTTGTTCAAGAAATACAATTTATTTAATGCTTTCAGATATTCTCCGTTGCCGTGTCGAAGGTTAATTATGAGGAAAAGTGGTTACTGGAAACAAAATCTGCATAATTAACATTCTGGGTGTCATATTGCATACACCACGGAGTTTAACAAGCATATAAACTCCGTGTCATCCTACAAATATTTTCGTTTATAATTGCTTAATTAATAAGTGTACACTCTCAACTCCAAAAGTTTTATTTCTTATTAGAGTGAGATTGTAAATTGTTGTGAATGTTAGAAAATGTTTCTATTCACTGTATATTATGTAATATACAAATTAATTTATTCAGTGGCTTAGAATAATATTAACAGTATAATATAAACTACAATTAGCCCTGTACTAGTCATGTAATGTTTGGGTTCTTGGGTACTCTAAACTTTGAAATGACTCGCGTGCCACAGAGTTTGATATTACTAAAGTAAATTGAACACGATGTTTGTAGGTTAGGTGGGTGGGATTTTGTTTATACTTATTTGAAGCTTGAATTTATATGTTTTCTTCTATTTTTGCATAAAAAAGTACTTTGAGCTTATGAACAGAGTGCGAAATATTTCGAATGTTATGATAAAATAAGTTGCAGCCATAGAAAGTAGAATGTTTTTTAACTAATTGAGTAAGTATAAACAACTAATTTAGATTACAACTACAGTACAAGTTAAAAACGTCTTTGAATGAAAGTTTTATTATACCTTGTACTTGTACTATAGTTCAATAATATTAATAGTACTTAAATTTTGAATTTAAATTAAATAAACGTACTTTTCAAGTATTTACAAATACGTTGTGGCTGTTAGTTACAGTTTGTTAAGTGTCATACTACAATATCGCCATGGGTAATATGAATACTCCAAACAGATTCTGGTTTAACAAATTTAAAGGGGAATATCTGTAATATTAACATATATTTAGTTATGTCTAAGAATTAGTGAACTAAGTTGTGTGTTATTATAATGTTTCTTTGTGTGTGCGTGTCCTTACCAATACTAGTTCTTGTTACACATATCTATGTTATAGCTAAATACTGAAATAAATGGGAAGGATGATTAATAAAGTAGACGTAATTATTCTAATTCCAATAAGATTAAAAATTCTACTAAATAGCTTTAGTAACATCTGTTCTGATACTGAATATTTTTGGTAAGATTGTTTATTGTAATGACATTTTTGAAATGGATGAATTATTAGTTTTGTAAAGCCAAGTGTAATGAAATTATAGATGGATTATTACTATTAGTTATATAAGGCCATGTGTAAGGTAAAAGCAGTCATGAAATGATCACTTGTGAGAAGCATTTTTTATTTTATTTTTGTTACAAAAGACTTTAAAGAATATGTAACAACTAAACAATATGTTAATTTAAGGAACTAGGAATTACTCTGTTTTAAGTAATTTTGGGAGTTCCTATACAGATATCATGCCTGCTGGATTATTTCATTTCTGTGTTAACAGAATAATATCTTGTACAGATGTGGAGAGTTGTGTCTTGTTTTCAAAGCATTAACTGTATTTAAATTTCCAAGCCATAAATCAATACTTATTGTCCTAAAAGACATGTGGTAAAGCCTTTTTTATGATTGTTTCATAAGTTTGAAAAAATGTCTTAAATTATATAAATACATTCTAAGAAGTTCAAAATATCTGATGTAATTCTGAAGTTTTTTAATTTCAAAATTGTTTGATTTCTTCTCCACCATGTTGTGAGTGACAAGTAGAGACTTGTGCATGGTGCTGACCTTTTTCCAACTAAGACGAAGCATTACTTTTCAGTTCAAAAAGTTCAGGTTGGGGACAAATGGTTTTTACAGATGTCAAGTTATGATGTAGTTTACTGTGTTTAATGTTTGTCAAAATGACATTCACAACATTTATTGTTCTCATAATAATTTGATGAGTCTTTCAGGTACTTTTCATCCTCATCATATACATTACTAACATTCTCAAAATCTACATACTGTTTTCTGTGCTTGAGGGATCTAGAAGTGCTTGAAATACTTTTCTCTAGAACAGATATCTTGATTGTGTGGTCATTTAGATTTATGTTTTAAGAGGTTCTGGTATTTTACATGGTTTATCTTAAACAGTATGTCTATGAGACAATCTTTAAAGCCCTTGTACGAGTGTTGTCTTGTGCCTTTTCAAAGTTCTATACTAAAGTTACATAACTTTGCCCTATAGCACATACTGATTTAGCACTAGAAGATACCCATGTCTTCAAACATTTTGGATGCAATATTATTTTTGTAATAAAAACTCTATTTCCTGATTGATTGACATTTCTCTTTATCAATGTCTCCAAAATGACACCTTACACTCAATTCACTTTTGAGACTGTTTTAGTCCTTGTGATTTTAAAGGTCCTAATATGCCCAAGATTTATGTACTTCTTAAATAATAACATATTTTTCCAATACTAACCACTTGTGTACCTTTATTTTCTCCTACCACTGTTCCTGCTTCCAGTAACTAGAAAGTCTTAACTGTATTTACAAGAATCACTGACATTAGTAGAAGCTGCCACCATTTCATCACCTGGTTTTTCCCCTTGGTTGTGATGTTTATGTAGGCCTAGTTTATTTGACGTTAACTCCATTGTCCTTGTTTTTACACCGCCTTCAATATCCATAGGATCACAAAAATTCACTTGATTCTTCTAAGACGTTAGGACAGTTAACATCAAAGGGAACCATTTTTCTTTACTAATCTCAAAACTGACTGGCTGTTAAGAATATGTAAATATACTGTACATAAGTGTATCATGAAAACTGTGACAATAAACTGTATACAAAAGTAAGTACTGTATATGTGTGTATATATAAAACAAGTACTGTAATGTTTACATACCATGAAAATTGTGATAAAACTTTTACAAAAATAACTTTTTTTTTTCCCCTTTACTTAGCAATGAATAATATGTTAAGAAATAAACTTTAGTAGAAATAATTCTTTATTATCATTTGAGTCAGTAAAAAATAAGCGTTTCTAAAGATTATAACATTCTGAAGTGTGCTGGTATATGTGTGTGATGTTCTGAGAAGTGCTGGTAGGATATACCATTTAAATACTGGCCCATTTTAACCACCATACAGATATATATTTGTAAAAACTTTTGTGCACATAATATAAATTCATAAGTAGTCTCCACATCACATATTTGATGATGATTTCAGTTTCATTGGTCATGTTCTTTGAAATTTAAATTTTTTTGGTCAACATCGGAACTTTAGAAGACTGTTGTGAGTTGAGGATTTCATCAGTTCTCGGAGAAGTCTTGATTTGTTATAATGATAGTTACCCAACCTCTGAGGGGCACTTGAGCTGAGGGAATGGGAAATCAAACCATCTGTGTACATCACGAAGTAGCCCACATTAGAACTGGACAACCAATGGAATTTGCTAATTGATTATTCTCACATGAAATGGCTAAAAAATTAAAAGTAATACCACTAATAATGTTTTTAAATGCTTTGTTGGCAGAGCACAGATAACCTACTGTGTGGCTTTGTACTTAACAAACAAACAATTATATTGTGAATCGTGGCTGTAATCAAATAAGCTGAAAAACTTGAATTAATAAAAAATCAATAATGAAAAAATCATAATGGTGATATTTTGATTACTTGATAGTTGGAATAATAAAAAAACAGTCAAATTAGAAACACTGATCTATTTATAATTTTGATTAATTGGTTATTTTACATAACATGGCTATAGTACTGTTTGTGTAATTGTATTGTTAACATGATATTGCAGGATTGTGTATGATGGTCTGGTATCAGGTATCTCCCATTCTTTGTTCCTAAGATTATATTGTAAGTTAAAAATGAATCTTATTTGTTTAGAGTAGGAGCTAACTGTGTTGGACATGGATCAGTTTGGTTATGAGAACACTAGTGTGATCTTTGGCATAAACACTGAATAAAACATGTTCTTAACATGCCAGATATTTACTAAAGTATTTGTATAGTAATTTGTTAATTATGTTACGCCTCCAGTCGTTACTTAATTTTCCGTAAATTCGTTCCGACGAAACTTTAGCGACACAAGTCCTTTCTTAAATAAAACTGGTTTATTCTTTCCGAATACAACTTTACCGATACACTTAATTTCAACAGTCGCTCTATAACAAACGCTAGAACGTCTCACGTGCTCAACAATACTCAATTATACACTTTCTGACTGCAGTTCAATTACTCATTACCTACACATTGTCCCGTCACGTTGTGATCATTTTATATATATACCAGACTACCCCAATCTAGTAATCTCCCGACAATTCACGAAGGTTCGAGAAAGAAGTGGCGTGATACTAGTCACGTGACCTCGCTGACCCAACAATTACTTATTGTTGTGTCAAACTGATTTGTATTTTTTTACTAAGTGGGTAGACTTGGGCTTGATTCCTAGATGCATGTGTTTGAGTTGATGGAGCACAGGGTTTTTACATCTGATATCCTGGGTCAAGCTCAAGTTTTTTAGTGAGTTTCAGCTCCTGAGAAATTTCTGCTGTGTTGCTGTATTTAGTAGTAGGCTTTGGATAAGCTAAGTAAAATATTATGGATACTTATGGCAATCCAATGGCTTGAAGATAGATGGATGTGTTTGGTTGAGATAGGTATTTATATTTACATGTACTAGATGAAAAAGGTGAATAAAGTGTGCAAAATACATTAAGGGTTTACATTTGATTACTTGAAAGAAATTGTTTATTTATAGAGAAGTAATAGGTAATTGTTTGAAAGAGTTTAGTACAAGTAAGAGATTGCTATGATGTGAAATTCAGAGAAGTTTACATGTGATTAAAAGAGATTTCTATATTGTGGGAAATTTGTAGAGGAATTTACATGAGATTGTTTGTGTGAAATTCATAGGGAAGATAACGTTTGACTTATTGAATGAAGTCACTAAATGTTTAAAATCTATAGTGTGTAAAATTCTTAGAATTTAATGTGATTATTTGAAAGCAACTGGTACATTAGTAAAATTTGAAAAGAAGTTTACATGTGATTAAAACTTGTGTGATAATCATAGAGAATGTTATGTGTGATTGTTTGAAATAAATAGCTCCATGTGACTGAAAGAGATCACTACATTAGTGGAATTGAGATTTCATGTTTTATTGTTTTTGAAAGAAGTTGCTATATGTGTTAAATTCTTAGAGAAGTTTAATTGTGATTGAAATAGACCATGGCTTGAGATTTACATCAGCATATTTAAAGTGTTTCTTGTAAAATCAAGTATTTCAATACTTGTAATTTGAAATTGGTAGTTTTGAATTATTTGATTATCATTAAAATCAAGTCATATGTTGCTTTGAACCTTGTCATATATTGCGAACTATAGTTTGACATTCTGAATACATACAACTTTAGTTATTTTTTATACAAATTTTTAGACAGTTATAAAGCTACAATGCAGAAGTACGCTCGGTTTGAAAATGATAGTGTTGGTGTTGTAGAAACTGACCATGTCGATGTCCAGCTGAAGGGCAGTATTAATAATTCATGTGATTTAAAACAAACTGGTATTGAAGCTTTAGATGGAAATAAAGATGGGAAAGTAGTTGTTCAAATATCAGATCCAGCAGGAAGCACCCATTCTCACTTGAATTTAAGGTAGGAATATTTCATTTAGTGACATTTGTTAAAAATATTTGGTACATAAATAATTTTTTTGTTTTTTAAATCCTTTTTAACTCACCATATAATAATCTAAACTACTTTGTGTTTGTGAATAATTGACTTTGTATCTAATTTATTATTTGTTATTATACGGTGGGTCAATTGTTTAACAATTAGATTACAGATTTAATTTCACGAAAGATAAAATTGTAAAATATAATCTGTGATGTAGAGGCCTAGTGCATCCATAATAATACCAAATAATAAGTTTGGAACAATGCTTTAATATCATTCACATACCTAACTTAATTTAGGTTACTATATCTGAGTTAAAAATGACTTAACATGTTATATACTTATCATCATTATAAAGGGCTTTACTGTATTTCTTTGGTTTGCTTACCTAAGCTGCACTGTTGAGCCTTGAATAGATTATATTTAAAATTTTACCTTAAGTGAAAAACAAAAGGAGATTTGTAAGCTAAATAATATCTGTTGAAATAACTATACATGTTTTAATATATTATTTTCAAGACAACCAAAGAATTTAAAAAATAATATCACAACAAATTTAATTTTCTTTATTTGAACCATTCTAAACTGCAAACATATTTATAAACTATAGGAACTTTAGCCATTCAAAACTACAAACATGTTTATAAACTATAGGAACTTTCAAACATATTTATAAACTATATTAGTTTTGAATGGCTAAAGTTCCTATAGTTTATAAACATGTTTGTAGTTTTGAATGGCTAAACTTCCTATAGTTTATAAACATGTTTGTAGTTTTGAATGGTTAAAGTTCCTATAGTTTATAAACATGTTTGTAGTTTTGAATGGCTAAAGTTCCTATAGTTTATAAATATGTTTGTAGTTTTGAATGGCTAAAGTTCCTATAGTTTATAAATATGTTTGTAGTTTT